CACACCAACTTACAGCTGTTGGCGCTTATTCACACACCAACTTACAGCTGTTGACGCTTATTCACACACCAACTTACAGCTGTTGACGCTTATTCACACAACAACTTACAGCTGTTGACGCTTATTCACACACCAACTTACAGCTGTTGACGCTTATTCACACAACAACTTATGATTTTAATGTACACAAATGTCATTATGATTATAGTTTCCTATCAGAATGTGTTTAAATAAGTGGTTTTTTCACTTCTCTTGCAAATACACGTGACTTAAGATACGAAATAATTGAGTATCAGGATCGCCCTAGAGAATATTAAAATGGAAATGTTAAATGCTAAGAGATGAACACCAGATAAACGGGAAAATGTATAGCTACTAATGATGCATGACTAATGACCGCGATGCAGGCTACCCCCCTTGAATAAAAAAATATCTCGTATGTCCGCATGGTTAGAACTAAGAAACATTTCTCATATGAAGAGGTTGCTGTGTATCTAGATGAAGGTAAGGATATGGATTTGGTTTACCTGGAGTTTCAGAAAGCATTTGACAAGGTGCCACATAGAAGGATGTTTACAAAATTATATTTCATAGGTGTGGGGGATAAGTTGCCTGATTGAACAGAAAAGTGGCTGGATGGAAAAAAAAATTTCTTCATTTGTTTGTTGTTAAGCGTAAAACTACACAACGTGTCATCTCTGCTGTGCCCACCGCGGGTGTAGAAACCCCGAAATTTAGTATTATAAACTATCAAACTTGCCGCTGGAGAGACTGGATGGAAGAAAACAGAGGGTTTTTCAAATGGAGTTCAGTTAAGGTGGATTAATGTCACATGTGGGATACTTAGAGGCTCAATGTTAGGACATTTGGTCTTTTTTATTAACATCAATAACAGAGATGAAGGAATGGTCAATGAATTACTTAAATTTGCACATGATATTGAAGGCTTGGATGTTGCTGACTGCTGCTTTGCAAAATGATTTAAATTATTTGGTGAGTTGGGTGAATAAATTGGCAGCTGACTTTTAACTATAATAAATGCAGGATAAGGCATGTAGATTATACTAATTTAAGTGTAATTTTCGTTGAACTCACGTTACACAGTATTATGGAGGAAAATGGTCTTGGTGTTCTGGTTAATCAGTCTTTTAAGCTTTCCAAACAGTGTACTGTTTCTAGTGGTAGGGCAAATACGAGTTTAGGTTGTATCTACATAGATGTTGAGTATAAGTTTAAAGAGATTATATTTTCATTGATATGTCACTGGTTAGATCAAATTTGGAGTATTGTCTTGGAATCCGTACCTCAGAAAGACCATTGAGTTGTTAGTAAGAATTCAGAGGAGGGCTACTTGGATAATACCTGGGATAGAAAGGTTGTCATTAGAGGACAGGCTAAGATCTTTGAAATGTTTTTTTTTTAAAGAAAGAGCTAAAGGAGAATTGATTTAGGTGTTTGAAATTGTTAATGGAATTAATATTGTCGATACATAATCTTTTCTTCGTACTTATTGGTTGGAATAGTAGGACTAGGGGATATAAATATCAATTTTGGCAGGGTAGGAGGCAATTGGCTTTTGGAATGGGTTGCTTTCAGGTGTGGTGAACGCAGTAAATTTAAGGGAATTTAAATGAAGGCTTGGTAAATATTTAAATGATCGGTTTTGAGTGTTTGTAATGTTTAGTTTAGTACATGGGGCAACCTAGATGGACCAATAAGTCTGTTGTTGTCCCTAAATTTTGTGTTATGTTAAATATTATGATTAGGTTTAAGTTATACATGTGTATAACTATAGCGACACGAAAATGATTTGTGATTAACTATATCTTTACTTGTACACATACTTTCTATTCTGGATGGGCCGCGGGTTCGAATCCTCGTCCCGTCAAACATGCTCGCCCTTTCAGCCGCGGGAGCGTTATAATGTGACGGTCAATCCCACT